GTTAGGTTTCATGTTATAGATATGTCTCACAAATAATATAATGTTAAAATACCTCTGATTTAAGAATAATGGATAATAATGGAAAAAATTACATGTCTGGATACTCGATAAATCCCTGACAATGAGCTTAGAAGTTATTTTAAACTTATGTTGCAAGGAGCAGGGTTTGTATAAATAAGAGAGTAGTTTTTTAATCACAGTACAGTGTACGATATGCTTTCTTCGAAATACATTTGAAAAAACAACAACCTGATAATCTAGGATTATTACAAATTGAAGATAATCAAAATACGGAAGGGATTTTCGTGAATAATAGCCTCTTTCATGTGAAAAGATTTTTCTATGTTGCTAATAGTACCAAAGGACAAAAAGCATGAGAAAATTGCTAAAGTATTTAAAAATGAGGAATTTTTAAATAAGTAAGTTTTTCTTGTGTCTTATTTTGTGGTGTTGCATAATCAAGGGTGAACTTCTCAAACAAAATGATACAAGGACCTGTCCTTTCATTTAGAAGACAATATAATTACAAGAAAATTGTTTAAATTACATTTCTTTTCTTTAAATGTAAAATATGGATTTTCGTAAATTTCTTCAGGTACCAAAATATATTTATTAAGCCCCAAACAAATATTGGACTGAACATGTGTTAAATTTAACCCAAAGAACAAAAACAAGGAAATACTAGACATATTGAAAGGGTCCTTGTCTCCAAATCATCTGACAAGCACACAACTGAAATGTCCATTTCGCAAGGTGCAAGATGTGAAATGTATGACAAGTTGGGAGCAATAAACATCAGTGTGAAGGTTAGAATGTTGTGATAACATCACAGAGTGACAGCAGAGATGAAATGTAATTAATGGATCAGACAATGATCTGAGTCTAAGTGAGGGGGACACACCAGACCCCCAAGGCTGCCAGTGAAGGGTGTCAAGGGGCTCAGTGCTAATCCCCCTGTGAAGGCATATTATGTTACCTCTGAGCTTTTGGCCTGTAACAGAGTAATGGTAAATATTTAAAGTGATAAAGTTGGCTGGAAATTACACATGTGACTTCAAGGGAATTAGTTTTAGGATTCAAAGAAAAACAAGGTACAGTAAGCTGCTAGTAACATATCCCTGTACAATCTTTTTGGACATGTTTGTTAATTGTGTATCTCAATCAAGTGTCATAATATTTGCATACTTACTTCAAGGTTAATACTTTGATACATTTGTGAATTTGCTTTGGATGAAAATTGGGCTGTTTATTTGCCGCAAGTTTGCTAAAACATGTTTGTAATATGATTTGTAAAAATCCAATTTTGGGTTTACTAATCAACCTACTACAACTTTATCGAATGAAGCATTATTAGAATATTAGTAAGTCCACACATTTCTTTTACTTGTTATTCAACGAAACAATAGCTATTAACAGCTGTAATATTGCAATCTTTATTCATGGTCTGCCTATATATTTTGTTAAGGGTGGGGTTTTGTTAGTAAACCAAGATATGTCACCACCTACCAGTGATGTGAATTAGTTGATTACTTTCAGATGTTTTTTTTAATTATTTTGGCTGAAAGTTATTTCTTTAGTATTTATCAACAATCAATAGATATTAACAATTAATCTCCTTTGAATGCCATCCATAGTATTTTTCTTGTGTTAGAAAGTAAAATAATTGTTTGGAAGAAACCCAGATTATGTAGATGACATTAGAGGTAATAGCTATAATTAGAATAACTGATACACGTTTCCTGTATTTAACGCTATAAACAATATTACACAGTTTGCATATTTAATGGCAACTGCAAGGTGCTTGTAAAAGTGCCATAACTACAAACTGTTAACATTGTCAGTCTGTGTATCAAACTTTAATGAGTACTCTTCTCTCAGACCCATCCATGTTTACGAAGGTCATGCCATATTTAATCATTTATTTGACAGCCAAATGTGGAGCACCTCACCATTATTTTTATGCAATGAATATGTAATATATTTTGAAGATTTTCATTTATCTAATGTCAATTGTTACTACTTAAGCATTATTAATTTGGTTTAATTGTTTTATCCACCCTAAGTCATCTGTACTTTCTAGGTTCTAATGCTGTTGATTGCTCAGCCACTTTGGTTAAATCATTTCTTTGAATCTTGATAAGAAATTGGTGTAATTGTGGTGTACATTATGTCAGAGATATTTGTAATGAAAATGGATTTCTCAGTTTTGAAGATGTAAAACAGAGGTACAAAATAAGAGAAACCTTCAAGGATATTCTATGATAAATTGATTAAGAACAACAATACCCCTAAGGTACTAGAGTATTGGAATACTGTCTTTCAGCAGGATATAATGTGGAGTGATGTATTCAGATATTACAGGAAATGTACAAATGATTGTAAGCAGTTAGATTTTCAGTACAGATTTATTTACAGAATAATCTATACAAAGAAAGAACTATTGAGGATGAAGTTAGTTGATAATACTACATGTACTTTTTGTAAAAATACCTCAGAAGACATATTGCATGTATTGTTTTACTGTGATTTAGTTAAAAACGTTTGGCAAAATGTAGAACAATTTCTAAATATCCACCTCCAGTGTAATGTTACATTTACAAAATTCACTATCATGTTTGGAGTGTGCTCAAACAATAAAATACTCAATCATATTATACTTCTTGCCAAAAGATTCATTTATGTTTCAAGTATGAAACAACATGACTTTCCCTTGAGGGATTTCTTAAGTTATTAAAAGATATATGTACAACTGAAAAATATATAGCTAGGAAAAACGATAGCTTAGATTCCTTTATAAGGAAGTGGTATATACGTTATTACATACTAAGCATTGAACTCTACTTATAATATCAGCTGATATATTTCCAGACCCCACCTACTACAATCACACTATTCAACCATATTCCTCTAATTTTATATGCCCTCTACAGAAACTTTAATGATATCTTATGTGTCTATATATTTGTTATAACCTTACAAAACACCATTGATGTCATGTATTTCATCTGAAACTTGAAATGGAATAAAAAAACATTTTTTTATCCATCTGAAATATATTTGCTGATATTTGTGTTAATTTAGTTCATTTTGATTTTTCAAGGAACTTGTGACATTAAATGTTTATACAAATTTTATATAATGTTCACAGAACTTTTATTTGAAAAGTTGTACCTAAAAAGAATATATATGTAATTTACCTGAGAAAATGCATAATATTTTTATATTTCACTGAAAATAGGTTTTAAAGTGTGCAGCTTATTTAATCTGTCATGAGAATTTTTTTGGTAAAGACACACACAATGGTTCTCATTAAGAAGAGCTTGCTCCTTATTCTTAACCTATTCAACTGAGGTGTGGGGCTAATGGCCTCAGTATGAGTTGACACAAAGTATTATCCCTCCATCATGGGAAGATCTCAGTGTTCCATGCATGGCAGGGAGCATGCTGAGGTGATAGGGGTGTAGGCATTGGACCGTCCCACTTCCCATGTGTGACAATGGCATGTCCCAATGTACATTGCATGCTTGGGTTGACAGTTGACATTATCAGCAGGTCAGTTGCAGAGAGCAGTCTTGTCAGCATAATAGGCTTGACCTGACATTTGTGTGGATTTTATGTGGGATGGGTGCCCTGCTATAGAAATGTAGGCTTTTGTTGATTTTTAGATTTGTAACATTTTAATCTGATAAACATACTTTGTATTGATAGGGAAGTTGTCATGTTTACTTTCCATGCCTACCTGTCAAAATGTTTGTTTTTAGAAAATATTAGTTAGGCTTGTTTTAGGATGTATGAAAAAGGATTTTTCATTTGCATTCAGTCCCTAGAAGTTACCTTTGTTCTATTTAAAATATTATTGCTTTTGTCTTGTGATAGAGATTAAATATTTCAAAACAGATGTGTTCTTAGAAAGATATCTGTGCGTAACCCTGTGGTTTTTTTTATCATTCTATGCCTAAGAATAGATGTTTTATTTTAAAAAAAACCCCACCTAAACCAAAACCTAAACCCTCAAAATAATCCTAATAAATAGAATACATTTCAGGCAGGGGTTACGAGCGGAACTCTATGTCTTCTTTATGGATGATTTTTTAAACAAAAGCTTCGACTTTTTCAAAGTAAATATGTTTTAATGTAGGAATATAAATTCTAATTATCTTGCAACAAAACTGCTGAAATTGTAAGTAACAAAATTCGAGATTTTCATTTCCATTTGTCCCAGTTACAACTTATGTAGTTTTGAGAAGGTGACTTGTGTTTTACAGGGGCGGTGGGGTAGCCTAGTGGTTAAAGCGTTCGCTCGTCACGCTGAAGACCCAGGTTTTGATTTTCCCACATGGGTACAATGAGTGAAGCCCATTTCTGATATTCCCCACTGTGATATTGCTGGAATATTGCTGAGAGCGGTGTGAAACCTTCCTCACTCACTTGTATTTTACTGTAGAAAGGGCCAAGTGAAGATTTACTACTTTGTTTTACTGACTGACTGACTGAGTTTGGTTTTACGCCGTTTTTCGCAATATTCCAGCAACATCACGGCGGGGGACACCAGAAATGGGCTTCACACATTGTACCCATGTGTGGATTCGAACCCGGGTCTTCGGCGTAACCACTAGGCTATGCCACCGCTCACTTTGTTTTACATCACTGCATTGAATATAATGTTACAGTGCTTGTGGATGTTAAGTAAATCAGAAACTGATAGAGGTTATTCATTCTGAAATTAAAATGTAATAAGAATAACAGCATTGTTTAAAACATTTCAAATAACACATGTCTTGTTTCCACCACTTTCTGTAGCAGAAAGAGGGAAAGCATGCTCCTACTATCAACCACTGGTTTTTGTGGTCCAGACTTTTGTATTGGGATGAACAAACAGGGATGAAATGCAAGTCTTGACCACAATCCTGATGGGGTTCTTGTGGTTGATTGTTACTTTGATGCATTACTTTCAGTTCAGTATCAAACACATAATGACACTCCTCCTGTTCTTCTTCCAGATAATCTAAGGTGACCCAGCAGTGAAGTGCCTGGTCGACTATCACCCATCCCATGCCTCGCATCTCCCCGGACTGGACCACACCCACTACAGGCAGCCATGATGGACATAGAGTGGTGGAGGAACCTGATCGCTGCCGACATCTACGCCACGTTGAAGCAGAAGGAGCAGGAGCTGCCGATGTTCCACGGTCAAGGCTTCCAGCTGTCAGCTCGCACGTACCTGGTGGACTGGTTGTCTCTGGTGGTGGAGCAGCTCCAGCTTTCCAGCCTCACCCTCCATCTTGCCGTCTTCCTCCTCGATTTCTACATGGACTCGGTTGATACCGACAGATACAAACTCTACCTTCTTGCCATGACCTGTCTCCGTGTGGCTTGTAAGTGTGTATAACACATAGATTTGCTCTTACCATAGTAGACCCGTGAAGATCCGGGTTAGAATTGATCTTCAGCAAGCCATGCTTATCGTAAGAGGCAAGTAACAGGATCGGGTGGTCAGTCTCACGGACTTGGTTGATACATCCTGATATCCCAGTTGCGTAGATCGATGCTCATGCTGTTGATCACTGGATTGTGTGGTCCAGGCTCGATTATTTACAGACTGCCGCCATATAGCTGGAATATTGTGAACTCGCTCACTTACCATAGTAACTTCATGTGGTCCAATTCTGCAGATCAATGTCCAATGCTTCCCCTTGTTTGCCTCACGATCTGCTAATTGTAGTTTTGAATCCCAAGTTCCCATGGAGTAGGTGACCATGTGGTTAATGAAAATGCAGAGTTACATCTTTCTCTGCTGGATAGGGGCAGTGGGGTAGTCTTGTGGTTAAAGCATTCACTCGTTACGCTGAAGACCTGGGTTTGCTTCCCCACATATGTGAAGCCCATTGCTGGTGTCCCCTGTTGTGATATTGCTTGAATATTGCTAAAAGCAGCATAAAACCACATACTTGCTCACTCACTCGTTTTTTCTTGTTGTAAGTTGCTGTTTTTAATCTGGAAACAAGTCGATGGGAAGAATTTGTAGTCAATTTGCAAATCAGGCTGAAATACACACAGTATTTACGGTACCACATTTACAGCCTAATAATGCTCTCCAGCTTTTATCCCCTCGGCATATGGCAAAATGTAGTGCAAATAGCCCTGGGGAGGAATTGGATTATTCCTTGCATATCATGTAAACCTGGGGTGACCATGTTGAAATAGCAAGATTGTGCTAATTTTTGAACCAGTGCTTATTCCTGAAATACTGCCTCAGTACAGGGTTCAAAATTAAGAAATATTAATCCTTATTTCTCAATTCAAAATGTATCCAACAGGAAAAGAAGTTGATTTAACAAGCTATCCCATTTGCAATATACACAGTTGTGGCAGGGCTCATTTTAAAGCAATATTTGTTTTATTTTTCAGGTAAATTTGAAGAACACATTGACAAACTCCCCCGTCCCTCTGTGCTAAATTCCCTCCTCCCAAAGACTGTTGGTGTCAGCCTTGGCTATGACGGATACCTACTGCCAGACTTCCTGGCCATGGAACTGAGTGTGCTGAGGTTCCACAACTGGCGAATCAGTGCTCCAACCACCGCCCACTTCCTCCCTTACTTCCTGACAATAGCTGCTGATGAGGGGGACCTACATAATGGTGTGCCCATTGTGTCCAAGTCTGTAGTGCTGCCTTACCTGGAGAAACATGCTAAATATTTCTCTGAGATCTCTTTACAAGGTATGCTGAATCAAGCTGGAAATTAGGTTTTAGAGATGTCATTTTGTAATACCTCTCAGGGCTTGATTGAAGCACATAGGACTTGCATGGTGAAACCTGAAACTGCCAAATGCAAAATCATGTTTATGTATTAGTTGTTGAAAGAATCCAGACTCCAACTGGAAAACAGAATGAAGAACTGGCCTGGAGTAGTGACTGACCACATTGACAGTGATTGCTTGATTGATTGACTGTCATGTTCATGTCGTGAAAGTTTATGAAGTTAAATCAGACAGAATATTTTTGTCATAATGATGTTCTAAGTCATCAATACTAAAACTCAGGTGTTACTTGTAACTTGGTATCAAGCAGCAGGTGTAACCTGTTTTTGATTGGAACAACAATGTTATTACCTGAGGTTGCACCGGGTGCAAGTAGGTTTGATTTCTTTAGATCAAGCCCTGATTCTAATGTAGAAGAAAGTAAAATAATGCTGTGTTCCTAGAATCTGGGGCCATGTAAACATTATGGCTGCAAAGCAATATTATGATAAATGCCTTATTGGTCAGATATCATTTTCAAGAAAGCTGCATGATGCTATAGTTCATTGTCAAATTCGAATGGGTCCAATGCACCATACTTTAATCTGGTGTGTAGTTTTCAAGTGTGTGATGCTGTGTCACATTCTATGTCTCAGATGTTGAGACATATACTTATCGAAAAAAAGAAAGATTTTTGACAATATCTGGGGTAGCTGAATTAAGTCATACTTGCATTATAAAATGCAAAGTGTCTTTTCTTTCATCACAATAAAGCTTTCTTAAATTGTGTAATTTATGTACAGTAATTATATCTTCAAAAAGGAAAAATTTCATCTTTAGATCTGTATTAGAATAGGCATTTACTTTTTGCACGGACACAGAGAAGCAAGACAGTTTGAATATTGAAAATTAAAAGACAAAGGGGGATAACTCTCCCAACAGCAGGTTATCTCCCCTGTATCATACTCCTGCCTTACAGGCTTAGAACCTAAATGAGTTAACAAGTACCCATTGTGACACTGGTAAGAATTCGCCCCCTGTGTGCTGTTGTACAAAGCAACCTTAGCACTACACCAGTTGCAAGTCTATGTTAAGGTATGGGAGTTACAATCACCTTAGAGCTAAGATCACCCAGCTCTCTGTGGAAAGAGGCACCTATGGTGCATTGGGTGGTTGGTAACTTGGTTGAAGATAGTGCATCATTAGATCCAGTGTTGTCATATGATGTGGCTGGTGTTTCAGATCACACATTCCGTGACTATCCTCCGTCCCTGACCGCAGCTGCATGTATAGCAGCATCGCGGATATGTCTTCATCTGACGTCAACGTGGCCCAAACACATGATGCTGCTGACAGACTACTACCTGGAGGAGCTCCTGCCGTGCATGCAGCTGATGTTGAGGTACATTATATCTACACAGAACAATAGCTCGAGATTTCTTTAGGGAGATTTGTAGCTTGGAACAAAAATAGATCTGACATATCAGGTTTCTTGTGTTTTTTGTGTGTTTGTGCAATGTCAGATGTCATTTCAGCTGTGCTACATTTCGTGTGGTAGTTCATAATTGTGCGGTTTTAGTTCTCAGCTGAGCAGTGTTTGTTGCTGGGTATTAGTCTAACAATGTTTTGATGAACAAGTTTCATCTGTGGCTGAAGGGTATGGGATCTGAATTGCAGCAACTTGCTGTGCAGAGTTGTGTCCCTTAGATACGGCACAACAATATAATTATGGGTTTGAATCACAGATTCTCTCTGATTATGTATTAAATTGTGGGTTTGACCAAGGAGGTGAACACCTGAGAACTGCATCCCTTCAAGCTTTACGAACATTTCTGGCATTTTATTTGTATTTCAATTGTCAGAATGTACTAAAAGTAAGTATGTTTCCTTCAGTATAAGAAAAACATTATTTTATTGGAAGGTACATGCTAGATGTGATGTGTTTTTGTAAACCTGATCATGTCCTCTACAAAATTATGCATCTGTAGAACATACAAGAGCAGCATCCTCTCCTTGTACACCACTTAGTTTTATTTTTTCTCATCATGTATTTATTATTCAGATATCATCAACGAGATGAAGCCAACCAGGCTATGACAGCCACGGCGGTAGTGACGCCAATTGTGGAGTACGCTGTACCGACAATCTCCACAGCCTACTACAACCCCCATGTCATCCACCCTCATCCCCACCCTCACTGGGTTACGTACAACCACCATCTCCATCATGTGACCACAGCTCATCATGTTCATCCCCTCGGACAGCTTGCTCTCTCATAGGTAAACTACTGCAGTGCACCTGTTGCACAGATGGTTACAATACTGCATTTTATGTATTGTGCACCAGGCTGTGTTATAATGGAATTATTGTTGCAAACGGCATTACATGTAACACACCCATCCATGTATTCACGCCATGGTTGGGGGCTTGTTATTGACTGTGTTGTACTCAGTTGAGCCAGTAAAAGCTGTGTACAAAGGACCTGTAGGATAAGGGTGTCTCAATTTAGAAATATTGGACTGTGTATTAGACGATGCATTATGATAACAGAATTATTGGACTATGTGTTAATGTGACATTGAACCAGTAGAAATTTTGACAGAAATATTGAGGAACAGGATCATTGACCTGTATTTGCAAAAAAATGACGAAACTATGACTTGAATTGTAAGAGAATTATTTGACTATGGTATATGTTAACATAATTTTTAACTGAGTTTATGTGTAATAGATTTTGTGCATTACAAGACTATGGGGTTCATTAACAAAAGTACTGGACTATGAGTTGTTTACTTGGAAAATGAGTAATGTGATTCTTGGATTTTGAGTTATTGGTAACAAAGTTATTGTTCTCTGAGTTTGGACTATTAAATACTAGTACATAATTATTGGAGTTAATTATTGAATTATTGTACTTTGAGATGTTGTAACAGGCCCATTGGATCACAGATCTGTTTTATGAATTGTTATAGTTCTGAATTGTTCTTTTATTGCAGAGTCAAGAAATCCTGTGGAATGAAATCTGAAGCCAAATCTCCATAAGTGTGGACCAGTGGGCTTAAGTGCAATGTATATTTATGTTTGTCAAAAGGTTGGCCCAAACGTACAAGTCACTCAGTGGTTCTAATTTCAGAGTATTTCATTGTTTAGATTCATGATATTGATAAATTCCCTCAAGGGACCTATCATCAAATATGTGTGTAGGGCGTGGGATGAGTACAATATACAATGTGTACAACAATGTGTACAATGAGGGAGGGTTCACCTGAGTGAGGTGGTGAAATAACCAATTCATTAAGGAATAACCTGCACCGCTCCGAACTCCCCTACACTGCTGGTAGGTCTGCATACCTTCAGAAGTAGCTTTTTATTTAGAAATCTGGAATGCAAACACTTTTGACTTGTAATACATGTGCTGATTTTTTGTGTGGCCATATTTTCTGTCGGTTTGATCTAGTCACCTGCTGCTGTTTCAATTCGTTGTAATAAGAGCCCCTTCAGTTCACTAAGAGGACAAAGGGGTGTGCATATTAAAACATGTGTATTTCAACATTTGTTTTCACAGATTCAGTGGAACGGAATAAAAACAAAACTGAAATCTTTTTTTATTTTAGTCACTTGGCAGTATACTGTTCCTAGGATCTGATAAACAAATTTGTAATATACACACGAAAATAGGGACCATCTTTTCAGCTGGACACGGGGAGGATGATAAAAATTACACTTTGATCTGTATGTTTCTTGGGGGTGGTTAAGGAACGCGGCACTTATTATGGCGAATTCAGTAATGGGCTGTATTTAAATTTTAACAGCATATTACCGTGGGCCCGCTGCACAAAGCCATAATAGCGTGAACACAACTTCCATATTTGAATATAGCTTTACAACAGGCGTTACACTAAGATTGCTTTCTGCAGCGGGGCTTTTGTGATAATTTCAGTCTCTCCTTTATTGTGAAAATGAGGTGCTACTGTCTACTGTATGCTAGAAATAGCTGAACCCATCAGCATACTGTAGGAAACATCAACCACTTTATGTAGAAATTGTTCATACAGACATACAATCATACCAGTAACTGACTCCATTGTTCAAATCTGGGGATGAGCAAAGAAAGATGAATATTATCTTGTTCCATTTAATGTTTTTCAACCAGATTGTGACACAACCGTTATTGTAACAGTATAGTGGAACAGTGTATTCAAGCTTGTAAATAATGACAATGCTCTACTTGGTACACTCTTTACAAAATAATACATGCCACAATACAATCTTAGCTTCATCAGATGTTACGATCATTGTACATTTATACAATTCAGTAAGTTTTGTGAGGTAAGCTTGTATAACAGGGAAGTGTTTGTTTAGAAAAATAACCATTTCAATTTCAATTTAAAAATCAAAATGATCATTTTGCACGGAAACATGGCATTTAAAAAAATGATATATATGTAGATGCGTGAAGGCCGTTGTATAATGTATTGCTGAATTCAATATCCTTGTGCACAGCTGCAGCTAGACCATTCATCGTCACGGCTACATACTTTTTCCAGTTGAGGGATATTGGATTCTGCTTTTGCATATTTCACTGCATCTAAAAATCCAATAGACACTACAAATCTTGGCATTCTCAATGGTTGCCAACTGCTGGCATTTGTCATTACTTACTGGGAGACAGATTTCAAAATAATGATTACCTGTTCCAGTCAAGAAAATGGCTTTGTGATCACAGTGTTTCACTTATCCATTACACTTGACTTAAAGCTAGACAATGGTGTGAACACTAGTGGTGGTCCGATTAATTGAAATAATCAATGATTGGTCGCAGTGACCAAACAACCAAGCAATCGATCACATTTACTCATAATCGAACATAAACGATTTTGGAACTACTGTTTTAGTCTTTGAAATACTTGACAATGGAACATATCTTAGAAGTTGTCAGGGCCTGGAAACATGTTTATTTCTTAGAAAACTCACTTCACTAACTGAAAAGTCATGACTGAATATTTCTCTAAGACTCCAGGAAGTTTATGTTCATGATATATTAGTCATCACTTTAAAGTAACAAGTTGCATCATGTTATACTTTTCTGCAGTAACAACCTGGATAGGAAAATCTGAAAAATGACGCTAACTAATTTTTTCGATGATTGTTCGTTGGTAATGAAGCAATCATCAATTGTGAGATTTCAACCAATTCCCAACACTAGTGAACACTTTTGGCTTTGTGGTCATGTAAGCAGCATTCATGATGCTCTTTTATAAATAGAATAATGTCTAGAGCAAGAATACACTGTTGTAGTGATGTAAAATGTGTCAGCTCTTTTGTGGACTAGTAAAAAACACCCCTGATTCATGAGGATGATCTCAAACCAGTGCTGGCATCATTGATACTCAACGACATTTCAGTTTTAGCCTCACCCTTGTACATACTGCACATTGAAATGTAAATATTAGTTACATGTGACATGTTTGTTACATCAAGGAAAGGTTGTGAACAAGTGATATTTTAGGGAACATGTTCGTCCATCTATTTCGCTGATACACATCATATGTGCATTACTATTTTTCTATCAGAAAATTATATTTTTTGGTGCTGTCCTGAAAATATATGTTTGCCTAGAGTTAGAAAAACAGGACATGTTGCAGGACATGTTTTAGGGAAGCATTTAAGGGCCATTTACTTTTATTATGTTATCTTTGAAATTTCAAGGTCCATACGTTGAAATTCTGAGGTACTGGTCTTCAAATTTCAAGATTATAGTCTTCCTTGGAATTCAATTATATAGTGTAAATTTCATTACACTGGTGTTAGTAAATAAACAAGAAATTTTTAATTTTGAAATTGAAATCTTGAAATTTCACGACCAAAAATTAGAAGGCAAAAGGCCCTAAGAGGTTTCTGATGTTTCTCACAATAGGATATTTGGACATTTTAGTCAGAGTAGATAATTAAATGTGCCATGCAATGTCCTCTGCAGTTGTGGTTACTTTGAATGAAAATTGAATTCTGTTTTTATCTAATCAAATAAAGAACATCCTTTTGGTTTCTTGACAGCAACAATTTTGTGTACATGTACATATTAAAAGTGCAATTAATTTGCTGAGAAGAAGTTGAGAAGTGATGTTCATATTCCAGTTATACTGATGGTGAGAAGTAAGGGAACTAGTAGAAAGTCATGACTTATTCGGTCGTAAGGCAGGAAAATTGTGTATTGTGATAGACTGCTCCAGAAGAACCTGTTTGACAAATATGGAGTTTTGTTCTTTGAAAGTCTGTTATTTTAATTAACATTGTAACTGAAAATTGTAACTTGCTCCCTTGCTTTTTCCAGTCAGTATATGTATTTCTGTTAGGTCATTGCCAATCTGTGGAACAAGGTGCCTGAAATATCTGTAGGTTCTGTTCAGGTTTCATACTGACACCAGCTTATTATTTGTGTGACAGTGCACCTGCTACGGACAATATTAGAAAAACACTAATAACGAAAGAGAGGTTTATGATTAGAAGTATAAATTCATTGAGACTTTTAAATTTAAGACTAACTGTTTCTGGTTAAGGTTTAAGATAACCGATGTATTAAGAAATAGGTTTCTTTTTATTTGATTTGTCAAGAACCAGTTCCAAAACGAAATGCAGATTCAATGATTGGTTATGCTTTCTGAAGTGCGGCGAGTCTGATATTTTTGTGAATTCATAACATTTTCATGTACAGTGACCTGAATGGCTGTTATTTATGTTGGTTGTGCCACAAAGGTACCGGTGCATTGCATTTTATTTCAGTGCTCTCTGTGTAATTTCCATTTAGACATTTTATGTTTCCCTTGTACTGAACCTAGGTTGTGAGAAACAAGATGGGGAAAATGGGACCAGAGGAGTTGTTAAAAAAAGGTCTTGAATGTGTTGTATTTGGCAAAGGCAGAGCTGTAATATATTTCTGCTTTTAGCAGAGAGTTCCAAGGCAAGACAGGGTTTTTTCACAAATATATTAAGTTAACAGATTTTGTTATAACCTGTCTGACTGGATGTTTTTCTTATGGTGACATTCAGATGATATTTTGAAGAACTATTTTCACCAAAATTCTGTATACCTAGATGTGACATGGCCTGCTCTCAGTGTTTAAACTGTACACAGAGGGAACTGTAAAATAACATGTGGGACACGATTATGTTGTATATGTTGTGTTTTTAGTGATAATATTTTTATAATGTAATGTTATGTGTTGTTTCTGGGTCTCGTTTAATATGTTTTTATTTTGATATCCCTAAGTTTGAACAATCCTCCCGTTTTCATTTGTAATTCTACAGCAATGTAAATATTCACAATGTATATAGTGTACATATGTAAACTAATATCAATTGAAGCAATTAAACTATTTGTTGACTAATCCGTGGTTGTGTTATCTCAGCTTACCTGCACCTGATAGCAACATCGCCATTTACTACATGCTTGTTGGGATATTCTCTAGCTCAGAGTAGAGTGTTTCCTTGTTGAGCAAAAAAGGCTTCGTTTTCTAGGGTTGCCTGCCCTGATATTGCTGCAGTTTTGTTAAACTAGGGTAATTCTATACCCAGTAGACCGCCTCCATGGTGTAGTGGTTAGAGCGTCCACCCGGAGAGAGAGCGGAAGGTCGCGGGTTCGATCCCCGACCGCGTCATACCAAAAGACGTTAAAATATGGTACTTGTTGGTACCTGCCTGGCGCTCGGCATTAATGGGTACAACAAGGACTGGTCGGCTCGGAGTCAGTATAATGTGTCTTTGTGGGGTATATGCTTCACTGCGGCATCGTATCTCAGTGGGCTAGCACTATAAAACGAGCTTAAGTCTGGGCTAGTAGAAGCAGGCCCATATACACATACACACGCATGCACCTTGTAATATGAGCGAAATATTCTCAAGCACGACGTTAAACCCACTTTCACCTCACCTATACCAACTAAAACATGCAATATGCTGATCTCAAGTCAAGCCTCTGAAAATGTGATCTCGCCTAGATACTCATCCATAATTCATGGTCAGCTTGCATTCATGTAGTTTGTAGCCACCAACATCACAGTCATGTAAACCACCTGTTGGTTTATTGTGTATTTTGAGCAAGGGGTCAGTATCCTTCAGTTAGTCAGAGAATTGAAACGGGGGAAAATCCAGCACACAGGTTGCCAGTACCTCATCGCACGTACACAATGTCGGCAATCTAATCCACTCAGCCAACGATGCTTCCACAAGAACTGAAGTCGGACAACTGTTAGTCTAGTTCACGCGCTTAATGCACCTCTTTGACAAGTATACACGTGAAAAAGCTCCGAAAGCTATACACGTGTCATTCACAAAGTGGTCAAATGTAACGTTATATTTGGGATTAAACACTCTCCATAAGTACAGATTCTAGTAATTGTGTTAGGTGTACAGGAGATAAGGCGCCTGATTCCGTGAGTGAGGTTGGAATGCCGGATGGGACTCAACCTGACAAAAGTACTAGAATATATACTGTACAGAGGAAATGTAATCCCACATATAACATGTCATACATTTGACCACTTTTTAAATGAGTAAGAGGCGACTAACGGGATCGGGTGGTCAGGCTCGCTGACTTGGTGGACACATGTCATCGGTTCCCAATTGCGCAGATCGATGCTCATACTTTTGATCACTGGATTGTCTGGTCCAGACTCGATTATTTACAGACCGCCGCCATATAGCTGGAATATTTCTGAGTGCGGCGTAAAACTAAACTCTCTGTAAAGTCTTTTGTGGCAAGCATGGGTTGCTGAAGACCTATTCTACCCTGGATCTTCACGGGTCACAATGTTTAAACTCTGCTTAGAGCTCTGTTAAGTAAACTTATTCGAATTTCATAAAATATAGAAATACGATGTTATTAAAGTTTAAAATTATAATTTATGTGCAAATACCATTTTCTTATGAAACAAGGAATTGGAATTCAGTGTAACCATAGTTGTTTATGATGTTTATTTTCACATTCACACGAGAAAATTCGGATCGGCTGAAAAGTAGGTTAATGAGACTCATGTTTCGGTTTGACTCGATTATTATTACAGACAGCGGTCATATAGTTGGAAAATAGCGGCGTTTAACAGAGTTTAACAAATATATGTATGGGAATTCATAAACAAAAGCTATATAATACTCTTTCACCAGAAAATACCTAAATAACTATTGACGTATAAAATAAGAAAGATACTCTGTATAGGGAATTTCTGTTAATGACTAGTGACTAATGGTTAGTGAATAAATTAAAATGGTTTTTTTGGCAATGTTTTTGAAATCACACGTGCTGCTCCACGTATTAGCATACACCTGCCACGCAGTAAAGGATCGGATTTCAATGGAATTGGTAAAAAGGCTATTACTATTACAAAAATGATTATTGGACTGAGGAGATATTCAAATCAACCTATAGCTATTCATATGCTCGATTTTCACTTTCTCTGTGTGTGCGCTCTTGTGCGTATATGAATGTGAATGAGTGCATGCGCGCGTGCGTGTGAGTGGTTGCGAATATTAGGCATGTATGCGAGCATGTGTGCATGTGCGCGTGCGTTTGCATGTGCTTGTGTTTCTTTAACGCCCCTCATGGCAATTGTTCAGCTATATGGCGGCAGTCTCTAAATAATCCAGTCTGGGCCAGACATTCCAGTGATCAACATCATGAGCATCGATCTACGCAATTGGGATACGATGACATGTGTCAACCAAGTCAGCGAACCTGACCACCTGATCCCGTTAGTCGCCTCTCACGACAAGCATGGGTTACTAAAGATCAATTCTAACCCGGATCTTCTCGGGCTGACTTATCTGTACCGGACGGGTTGACTCATATTGCTCGCAACAACCTCCACCGTGGTGTCACGGTGACCCCGTGTGAACAACCTCGCGGAGCATGGCGACCAACAGGTCTAACCCGGAAGATAGACGAGAACCGGATCAGGCCTTAAGTAAGATAGCCTCGGGACATAAATAGCACAACGCAACAGATTCAAATCTACCCTTGCTGTTAAAAGAGAATTCCGTACATTACCAGGTAGGCGAATTTCAATATATATATGATATTAATATCGGCGTTATATGCAGCTCACTTAAATACAACTCGTTCTGTGGAGGGTGTGACCCTAACCGCTCACCACAGGCAGACAGGATTGTTTACACACGAGTCTTTTTGAAGACATAGCCTCCGATTCGCAGACCTGTGAAGATCTGGGTTATGGTCTTCAGCAACCAATGCTTGTCGTAAGAGGAGAATAACGGGTGGTCAGGTCCGCTGACTTGGTTGATATGTGTCATCGTATTCCAAATGCATAGATCGATGCTCATGCCGTTGATCACTGGTTTGTCTGTCCAGACTCAATTATTTACAGACCGCCGCCATATAGCTGGAACATTGCTGAGTGCGGCGTTAGACAATAAACAAACACATGTCTGATTCAAGGATGGCAGAAAATGTGTCTGGCGACGTAACGGCGAGCGCTATGCCCGAGCAGTAATTCTTGACCATGTTCGGTATAGGATGTCAGGTTGTAGGGTGGCATAACTCATGTGAGGCCAACTGATTTAGTTTATGGGTTGGACTTATTTTTATCGTATCCTAAAAACCAATATAGAATTTGAGAGATACCTCTTTCTGCCAAAACATATCTATTTCCCGACTTTAAGATTCAGAACAAGTAATCACCACCTCCCTATAGAAGTTGGCCGTTGGGCAAATGTTCCTAGAGAATATCGTCTGTGTAATTTATGTAACTCTCATGCAGTAGGAGATGAACTCCATTATCTGTTCAAATGCGATGCTTTACTACTGTATAGACAAACATATTTACCCTCCTACCTTAATTCAATTACTTTATGGAAACTCGTCAAACTGTTCTCGTCTAAACAAACGCGCAATCTTACAAATCTTGCTATGTACATTAATGTAATATTTAAGTCTACAAAGATACATTAACCTTTGGTTCTTTTTCTCTTTTATCTGCCATCCTGACATGTAAATATTTATATGACTATAGTAATATTGTATTCTCATGTACCACCGTTGGTGGTGTTTTGAGTAATAAATTGAGCTTGAACTTGAACTTAACCTGCTATTTTATGGCGGGCTTGTGCGTCCCGTCGTTGTTCTCGTTGGAATTAACGGGAGACATTTTGAACTGCAAGATGACAATGGAAGATCATTTCGTACCTAGGTCGACATCTTAAACTGCGACGAGGGGACATACGGACAGTGGGCTGGCCAGCTAGATTCACTGACTGATCCTGAACAGAGAATCTTTTGGATGTTCTCGCGTGGAAAGTGTACGACAGAGCCCAGCTTCCCGAGGCAAGGGAGATAACTAACTAGACTGACGCTTAGTCTCTGATTATATAAACTTTTGCTTGTAACACATAAACTCATTTAGATTGAAAAGGAGCCCGAGGAAATCTAGAGTTGCATCATGGAGGGCTTTAGCATCTCAGGGAGGTCTAGGCAGTAAGAAACATATTGGGGTTCATTGACTGTGAGACAGACTACTAACTGACTCAAAAGTCACTTTTCGACCTTGCCGAGGCTGAATTTTCAAGCGGAATGTCGGGCAATACCATGGCTACCATAGCCAAGCTATTCAACAGTGTGCCATCAAAGAGTTGTACCACGTATCCTCCAACATGGTGGACTTCCAGATAGTGATCTGACGTCCGAAATACACCTTACTGTCATTTATTACGACCTACCTATCATATCAGAAGTTCCCTGACTACTTTGTCTGACGGATATCATTATCTTAAATCCAAGGAACATTAATTGAATCCTGGTGGGGATAAGGGAAGCAACTCCATGTGGGGAATTACCTGTCTGAAGCGTCCACTTCGTCCCATGAAGATATTAGGTTAGGATGTAGTCCCTTCAATCTTTCCCAGTGGGTGCCTGAATTGATCTGGTGGCCAATCACTCTGATGGATTCGATGCCGTCATCACGTGTGTGGGGCGAATGCATGAGTTGGGTTTAACGCCATTTTGAACAATGTTCGATTGATATCACGACAGGTCGACATTTGGTGAAACCCATTATGTGGTGCTGAGATACCCAGAAATATTATCGGGGCGGATCGTTCCAAACCCACATAGAATCCTTGCGTTGCAAAGGGAGGCAACTCTGCAGAACGCTTTGCGGCTCCTCAGAAACATGTCAGTCCCCCACCCCACCCACCCACATTATCTAGAATAACGCGGAGAAGAAAACACACGTGCACAGAGAGAGAGAGAGAGAGAGAGAGAGAGCCCATGTAATGGATTTCTACTGAATGCGGCGTAAACGTGATTCACTTACCGTACTAAATTCACGTAGAACGTCTTCCCCCTAATGACAACTCTAACACAACCGAGAAACGGACTATAACCATTCAACCATAAAATCCTACCCAACCCAAGCTGACGCTTGTTTCAGGGATAGAAGTTGTTTTTTCTTGGTTTCACCAGAGAGACGTACCAAATACAAACACGCACCTTTCTTTGGCAAACGTGAGTATAATTATCGCAACAATATCAGATGAGTTGATCTGTAAACTTTACTCAAGTTGCACTGACAATGGGCGCTGAACCGTGTCAGTGTCGATACAACAACAGTCGGTTTAAACGCTGTCTCCATTCCTCCTTGATTCCTACAGGTAAACAAGACATGGCCTGTGTTAAAGGACAGAGATATAGTGTAATAATGTAACTGTCAATTTTACCTGCGTATTTTGGTTGTGGGCCGTGCAGCGACTTGTAAGATTAAAGCTACCTTACCGTGTACGTCATTGCGTGACACGCCAATGAACCCTTACACATTCGCCTCAGTGAATCCACGTCCGGTAAAACTCTCTCCCGCATTCAGTCTTCCCTGTGTGTGGTACGAGGCCGCTCTTGTCCTATACAGAATATTTTCCGTGGGATATTTACGATCAGCGGGACGTTTTGACAGAGACAGGTATGTTCAATAGTTGCTTAATGAATAGCGCGGTGTTAATTGGAGCTGACCTGTATCGATTTGAATGTGACGATATCTGCAATTTGTTAGAACTGCCCATGCTTTTCGTAAGAGGAAACTAACGGGATCTGAAAGCGAGGTATACGCCGACATGAATGAATGTGTGTACTACTACTACTACTACTATTACTACTACTACTACTACTACTACTACTACTACTACTACTGCTGCTGCTACTGCAGCTGCTGCTGCTGCAACCACCTTTTCTGCTGTCTCTGCATCGCCAGATGTACATATATCGATCGTACCTGAGTTGAGGTCGGATTTAAACCAGCCACCATGACGTCATACAATAAAAAACATATACGCCTCTGTGTATATAGTATATACAAAATTAACATCGGTTGGCCTGCCTCGCGTGAATAATGCTGTGAGGCTGTAGAAGTATATAGTATATACAAAGTGAGATACAGTGTCTAGGTTTAAACAGGCTTCGTGTCAATAATGCTGTGAGGCTGTGTGGTGTGTGTATTATTGTCAAGGGTGGTAGCATTGGTGGATCAAGGGGGATGGCGGGGCGATTTGGATCCAAGGGGGTTCCTCCCTTGGATCCACCAATCACTACCACCCTTCACACACACACACACACACATCCCCTTCTGCAGCCCTCACAGCATTATTCGCGTGAGGTAGGCCAACCGATGGTAGTTTCACGTCCTTCATGTTATACCTTTTTGTTCATTGCCAAACTAGACAGAAAGTTTGTGAAAGAGCGGAAACATTTGCATTTAATCATATTCTATCATAATCGCAATAAAATCAGATTATGAGGCTGCATTTATCATTACTTATCAAACCACCCCCTTCATGGTTTCGCACCAATTTTTATCCATCTCAAATAATCAGTTTTACGATAATAATGAATATCACCATCTGCAACTGCTGTATATTTAATTTGAAGAGCATAGAGTGATACATTTGAAAATATATGAAAAATGTGAATTAAATTATTTCATGAAAAGACAGTTGTTATGGGAACGCGTTTAGGTCCGGGCCAAGTTTCATGCTGTTAGGCACGTGGTGTGATGGTATATAACAGATTCATACGTTTCCATTTTACATAAACGCAAAATTTTGATTTTGTTAATGGTGGAAAAACATAGGGTGGGGTTTTTTTTTTTCAATTCACAATATTTTCCGTATTCCCAGGTATCTAGATTTATATGAAACAACGGTGGTTTTAACACATACTTATCTAAAACAAACCATGATGTATACAACTTTGGCAAATAAAAACAGAATGCTTTATGAATTAATATGTGCCGTTATTGAAATTTGATCCATATCGACCGTTTTAAATAATGGTTCTGGGATTTGAAATCGGCGGCGGCGGTGGTGGTGGTGGTGGTAGTAGTAGTGGTAGTGGTAGTGGTGGTGGTAGTGGTGGTAGTGGAGTGGTAGTAGTAGTGGTAGCGGGAGTAGTGGTAGTGATAGTAGTAGTAGTAGTGGTAGTAGTAGCGGTAGTAGTAGTAGTAGTAGCGGTAGTAGTAGTAGTGGTAGTGGGAGTAGTGGTAGTGGTAGTAGTAGTAGCGGTAGTAGTAGTAGTAGTAGTAGTAGTAGTAGTAGTAGTAATAGTAGTAGTAGTAGTATCTAAATCCGGTCTTTTCTCTGGTACGATAAATCTATCTCTGGCAATGCATCGGTATTAGTCTACGATGGTATGTTCTAAGTTAGTTTAAGGACCAACTTTCAGGAATTCAACCTATGTTGTAACTTCTGGTGTTCTTAGACAGAATACAGGGACCGTTTCACCCATCTTTATCCATCAGAACAAAATAACAATATCTTTAGCCACATTACAAGTCTGATTGGCGAGATCCATTCAGTCAGCGAGTTAAGCAGTCAAAGCACCAGGATAATTCCATTGCTACTCTACATCGGTCAGGTTTTAATATAAGGTCTTCCGGTCTGCTTGAGCTTTCCTTCAGTAATAATAAGACACCATATAAGTAAGTAATATGTATGTTTTATATATACCTTTTGGAACCATTGATTGTCAACCCCTTGTCTATTGAGTATTTC